CGAAAGAGCATGTTTTCCTCCCTGAGTTTGGCCTTCATAATTCCATTCCATCACAGTTACAATGGTGCTGAAAAAAGTGACTTATGACTGGTTCTTACCCTTACAACCATCGCAGCACCCCCATGGTCATGTGATCAAAATTTGGGCACTTGGCAACCAGCTCACACTTATGATGGTTGCAGTATCCCAGGGTCACATGATCACCATTTGCTACTTTCCTAACTGGCTTCTGGCAAGCAAAATCAAAATCATGATTCACTTAGTGACTGTGTGATTCGCTTAATGACCACATGATTTGCTTAACAATGCAATTCGCTTAATGACATGATTCGCTTGATGACTGCCGCAAAAAGGTAGTAAAATCAGGTCCAGTCACATGGTGATTTGCTTAATGACTGCTTCACTTAATGACAAATTTTCTGGTCCCTAATATGGTTATTAAGCAAGGACTACATGTATCTCCAACAATTAGATAAGCTCAAAAACCATCCCCAAGGGAAATGATAAAGCACCCAGAGAATAAAGTAGAAAAACAGAAACCTCTTTCACAGAGGAAGACACCTTTTGAGAAACTGCCAACAGAGCTTTATTCAGTAAGACTGCTTTAGCATTTGGAAAGGGCCTAACCTAAGTATGCAACTTCTTTCCAGCACAACCCCATGTCTTTCCGCCATTTCTCCACGACACACAGCTTGTCTGTCACCCCAACTTCCAGGGTACAGCCCAACTTCATGGCGAAGAGCGTCTTGGTGGAACAGTCCCTCTCGGAGATCAGCCGCACCTGGTCAAATAAAATGCTGTTAGGATGATAGCTGTGGAAGGGCAGGAAACAAGATGCATAAGCCTTAGAGAATGTCACCCACTGAAATCATGTTTTAAAAGAAAACATCAGCTGCAGGGAATGATATGTGTCTAACTGTCTTTACTGCATAGAGTGGGCTCCATCAGCAGACTAGCTTACCTGGGAAACCCCTCCTGGATCAGACCAAAAATTTGTCTAGTATAACACAAATCCTGTTTCCATTCCAGTCAACCTTAAGTATCATATAAAGGTAGTTTCTTTTCCCCACTGTTGTTACTCAGCACTCAAGCCCTATTGCGTTCAATGGCTTTACTCTACATCTCTATAATAAGTAAGCTTTGAAGACCTGGCTCTGGGTTAGGAAGTACGATGGGCCCTGTCTGTGAACATGGGAAGTTGAAGAATGTTTTTTATTACTGTCTCTGGAGTCTATCATTTTTTTCTTGTTTTCTTCTGTTGTTTTGTGGGTTTCTTTTGCTATGGAGTTTATAGTTTTCTATTAGTTAGCTATACATAGCTGAATATATTATGTTGCTTTAAAAGGCTAAACACTGCTATTAAACTCTATGTTAAGAATGAATATCAAGAAGTTTTTCCTATTGTTTTAAATACTGTACTCTGCCCAGAGTCTTTAGAAGTTTGATAAACAAAAAAATGATATGATTAAAATTACAGTAGATCAAAACCTGCCATGGGTTCCAAGAGAATTTGTTCCACATGATTCTGTTAGAGCAACTTGTCAGATATAATCAGAGACTGCGTATTCTCCATTTCAATGAACTCTCATATACCCTAACCTTCTAATCACACGGGCAAATTTTGTACAAAGTACTTAGCCAAGCTAAGGAACTGCCTGCATGTAGATAGTTGATCCCCCTCCCCCAAAAGATGGTTAGAGCTTTCCTTGACTCTGGTCCCCCATCCCAACCCCACTACCCCCAATTATGTCCTCATTCCAGATACTATTTAGTTTTAAATACTACTTCTAGCTTGTCATCAGTGCAGTTCAAATGGAAACCTCTGCTGTAGGAAGACCTGAGGATGAGGAAGACTCCACCATCATCACCAGGATGACTACTACAAAGTGCCCTACATGGAGCTACCCTTGAAGAATACTTAGAAGCTGCAATCAGTGCAGAGTGCAGCTGGCAGAGTGCATGTGGGTGAGGACCGTTTCAATCATGCAACACCTATACTGGAGGTGCTCTGTTGGCTTCTGATAGATTTCCAGATAAAATTCAAAGTGTTGGTTTCCATCTTTAAAACTCCTACATATCTGCAAGGCCACCCTCTCTAGGTGGACCCATTCCATCCAGTATGTTCTTCCTGGCTGGGGATGCTGAATACCCCCCATATGTTTTTTACCCTGCAATGTTTTTTATGGTAACCCCCACCATCTCAAAAAGGCCTACCTAGAAGTCAGATTGACACCAACTTTGGCATCCTTTTGTAAAGCTAAGAAAGTAGAGTCATTCGCAGAGCTTTGGAAAGTTAGCATCACTCAAGGCTGGGTTGGTCAGGGAGGTATTTGTAGTGGTGATTGTATATGCTTTGTTATTTTCTTTTATTATGGTTTTACTTATATCTATTTTTAATGCTTTATTGTAAACCACTAGTGATATGATTCAGCAGTATACAGATATGATAAATAACTAAATAAACCAACAACTTGGGGATCCAACAAATTTCCTCCACATGGGATTTAGATTTGATTAATTCAGCACATTAAGAGGTTCCACTGTGGCCTTCCAAGTCCAAATTCCCATGACTGTAAGCTCCTTGCTGACAAATCCCTAAAGGATCAGGCTAATCCCATATGGCCCTATTAGGATGCCAGTCTTGGATAAGAGAGTACCTAGTCATACACATTATTCTGTTCTGTGCTTCCATCACAATAAATCAGGACATTGACATGAGAGAATGGTGAACAGGTGGCACACTCTCTTCCAGTCTCAAACTGCACTATAGCGATAGTTTTCATTAACTTTAGTCACAAGCAAACCCTTGTGTGCATTAAGCACTTTTGACAGTGCAAGAATGAATTATAGAGATGTGTTTAAATCATATAATCTCTCTTCTTTCTGCTAGAGCAGATGGGGAAAGGCATCTGACCAGGGCAATAAAGCTTTGCTAAGTCCCTTCCCCTCAGAGTCCTCATGATGCCTAAGCCCTCACACTCTAGCATTGACTACATGCTTTGACATATCTGACTACAACCATGAAAACTAGAGGACTACCTTCTTTGCAATGAAAGGTAAGAAATTTTGCGACATCTCTTCCCTGAAAATCCACTCCAAAGGACAAAAGTTAAGATGTACCTCTACACCCCTTTTCTGAAGTTGATTAAGTCCAACAGCATCCCTGACATCATATGAAACAATCTCTTTTCCATCTTCAGACATATAGATGTGACCAGTGGTGAGGCATCCATCAATGGTACAAACCAGAAGCTTCACCTCCTTTAACGTCTCTTTCCCGAAGTAGCCATACCTGGAAACATGGATGCAACAATCATGGAAAAGAGGGGAGGAACTGTGTTTACATACATTGTATTCTATGTGCAAGACTTCAGGTGACCTCACTTTTTGACTTCAGGTTGGAATTATCGTCTACAGAATGGAATTATCTTCTACAGAAACACAGACAAGCTGATTCTGGGGGGAAAAAAAATACCAACGTAGATTTTTATCCAACACTTCATTTTCTACGGAGAGGCAATTTTGTATGGAAAAAGCCCTCTTGTACAAAACAAACTGCTGCAAAACCAAAAGGAAGATTTTTGATTCTGGAGTAGAATATCCTGATTGGGAGGCCCAGTTCCCATTTTTGCATAAGACCAATGAATGAATGTTGGCTTCTGATTCTGGAGTATTAAAGAGGAATCAAAAGAGGAATTCTAGATCATAAATTAAATAAACTAACACGTCTCTCATTTTTTTTAGTTATTTAAACTAGTGGAAATAACAAAACAGCATGGTGGTGCTGGATCCAACCCTACAGTAGGTATTGGATGACAAAAAGAGCACTTCTGGATGACAGAAGAAGATGCATGGTGTACAGAATGGTACACGAGAAAGGAAAGAGATGAAACAGTTCCGTTTCTGGAGTACAGTTTAAAACTATCACACTTAAAAGCTTCAAGGCTGGTCAGTTCCAACAACCACCAATGCTGGGACATTTCACACAACTGAGTGCACTTCAACAAGAGCTAATCATCTCCAAGTTCCAGGGAAATCAGTGAAAATTTAGAAAGCTCCAACCGAGCCACTATTTGATGTTTTCTATGAGAATCAGTTGTAATTAATTTTGGCTCTCCTGGCTCCTTCAGTTTTCAGGGGATCCATAAAATGTATTAGTAGAGCAGCAGATATTCTGTGGCCTACTTGTTTTTCTACATATTGGAAAAGCCAGTGTGGTGTAGTGGTTCACATATGCTACTAAGATCAGGGAGACCCAAGTTCTAGTCCACCCTCAGTCATGGAATCTCACTGGGTGACCTTTATATTGCCTTGAACCCTTGGAAGAACAAAAAACATGAATCTAACAAATAAAGTAAGATTAATACTTATTTTGGGGATACATCCCTCTCCTTCAACTTATACGTGGACCTATCTACAAGGGTACCTCCTTGTCCTGCTGATGGTACATCCTAGGAATTCTCAAAGGAGAAGAACATCACAGTAACCACCTGAGAAAACCAGTTTCTGTGTTTACCTTAGGACTCGTTGTTCTGCGATAGGCCAATCTATGTCAACATCTATGTCCACACTGTGCTCAGCTCGCATTTCGTAATAGGCCATTTTCCCACCCTAAATAAAAATGAAAACTTGCATCAGCCAATCTTGCCAACACTGGAGGGCACATCCAGCATGCTGGGCAGGGTTTCCATAGGGGTTATCTATGCACACAAGTCTGCAGAGAAGAGCCAGAAATTGCATTCCAGCCATTCTTCAGGAAAGTCTCCTTTTTCATTTTTGAAGGGAGGAACATTATGGAACAAAAGAGCTGTGACCAGCTAAAACCAGCTGTGAAAGACTAACATTATACATCATTAGCTTCTAGATACAGCATGGAGTAAGACTCAGAATGTACATTTGTCGTATGATTTTCTATTTCAATTAAAAAAAAAAAGACACAGCTAGTCAGGGAGCGTTATAAACTGGGAGAGGGGTAGAATTTAAGAACTCCCCTGGCAGATATTTTGTTCTGAGGCTTCCGTACAGAAAAGAATTTATGCTAAGCTGCTGCCATTACTTGTTGACCCCTCCTAGTCTGGGAATCTTAGATTTTCTACTAAAGACTTCTTCCTTCAAGCTTCGGCCCTAGGAAAAACAGAAAAGAAGGTGCTTTGATCTTCCTGCCCTAAATCCGGAAGTCCAGAACTTAACAAACCTTGTGCCAATTCCTACATATAAGTGATAACTATGGAACCATGTGGTCTTACAAATGGCAAACGTTTTAATGAAAAAATTCTTATTAAACCAATGAACCCAATTTAAACAAGGGAAGGCAATAACCATGCACACAAAATTCCAAATAACTGACTATTGTTAGCCTAGTTCAATTACTTCTTTATTACTTCCTTAAATAAGTTCTTGGGTTTTAACCCATGTTCAGGACTCACTGCAGTAAGAATGGACAGAGAAAGATCATCTGGACTTCCTGTCTGGGTGTTGCTAGGCAGGCCCTCCCTAATCCCTCCCTCCCTCCCTCCCTTCGTTCCTTCCTTTTTACCGAATATGGAGTATAAGTGAAAGCTATCCTCTTTGGAAATACTGCTTTGTCCAATCAAGCAAAATGAAACCATCTCTGGTATCTTGTCTCTACCTAAGAAACAACAAATTATCTAGCTGCTGAACCCACTTTCTTAACAGCTATGGGTGGAATAATCAAAGCATAGCTTACTTCATACCAATTGTGCCTCTGCATCAAAAAATAGCACAGGAAAATCTTTTTGGAAAAACAAAATATAAATTCTATCTATTCCAGCCTCTCAGCTGGGGTGAATTTATCTAATGCTTTAAGTGGTATAGTTGTGTCATGCTACAGCTAGGAATGTGGAACAGGAAGACAATCTGAACAGCAATTCAAGGATAGTGAGATTGCAAGGCTCCCCTCCTCTTCTTCTATTCCCTGATTTAAAAATCACCCTAACAGCAATCTGCCTTTGAAGGTGCAACCAACAGCCCATTAAGCAGCAAGCAGCCCCTTGCAGGAGGATCTTAAGAAAAAATGAGGAAGAAAGACCCACCAATCCAGCCTGTCCCTAAATTGGAACTATTAAAAGTGAGCCAATCAGCACTGAGTGAACTGAATAACTTCTTCACAAACCCAGTTCAGAAGTGTGATGGCAAAGGAAGGTAAAACAGAATTGGTTCAACACTGCACCCACCTGCAAATACCCCTTTTCAATTAAGGGCCTTTTGGCAAAGTAAAATGATCCATTTTCATATAATTCACCATCCCAGTCCTGCCGTCGAGGACGCTTGGCAGGATTCAGATTTTGTGGGATAGTCACTTCACAGGCTGTTAAAAGAACAACAAATAAACAAACAAACTTTTTTTATTTTTAATAATATTTCTATTAGAATTTTCAAATACAAGAATAAAAAACTAATATAAACTAAGGAACTTATAAAGAGTAAAGAAAGAAAAAAGAGAAATGAGAAGGGATAGAGGAGAGAGAGAAAAAAGGAAAAGGAAAAGAAAAATAGATAAAAGATTATTCCCCCCCTCCCTCCTGAGAAGTATAAACAGTTACAGTAATTTAACACCTTCTCTAGTATTTCATTAAAAAAATCCTCTTCTTTCCATATCTCATCTCTTATCAATAATCAAACTGTAAAAACTCACCTTTCAGTCCTAATCAGCAAAAGTCCATTTGGGGCTACCAGAAATAATATCATATGTATTTTAACCTTAATCAAAAAAATCCATTTTATAGTCTAATTCATCACCTTCTCTGAAAAATAAAACAAAAGAAATCTCTCCCCACTTATACACAAATCCCAAAAACCTCGTCCTTCAGTTCACTGTTTCTCATGGAAGTTTCTTTTGCCATCAAGTGGCTCTTATTGTCCAAGGCTGATTAGATGGTTGATATAAATATGTACCTATCTGAAGTTTTTATAAGCAGTAATACCAAGTCTGAAAGATGCCCATCCTTTACCTCCTTTTTTAATTTCACTCCATCTGAACTGATGCCGCCGCACAACTGAAAAGACCGAGTCAAAGCCATCCTCACGGATCATTTTGACCACTTTGATGAGGTCAGTGGGATGCAAACATGGGGAAGTTGCTTGAATATTTCCTACAACATCAACCTCTGGAGAAATGGGAGAAAAATATGGAAAAGATAAGGAGACTGTAGGTTGCAGTTTGGTTCAAACTATATCCTTAAAAAGTTACCAGAAAAAAATAGATAGACAGACAGAGAGACAGACAGACAGACAGATGATAGGCAGGCAGGCAGGCAGGCAGGCAGGCAGGCAGGCAGGCAGGCAGGCAGGCAAATATTTAGGGAAAAATCCAAGCAGAATATTCTTATTACAATCTACATTTTTAAGAATCCTTACATTTATTCACCAGCATGGTCATAGCAAATAGAATTCTATTTAGATAAATAAACAGCTAATATTGGTTTTTTAGACTATCAGTTTGGGAGCTTATTTAGAAAACTGAATTAAATGCCATGAAATAGCAAGTCTGTATAAAACAGATGGCTTTTATAATTATTATGATATTTCTTTGCCTCAGTATCTTTTGCTGAAATATGAGATCTTTCATAATGTAACTGGCTCCCTAATGCAGTATTTTCCAATCTGGTGCCTTCTAGTTATATTGCTGGTTGGAAATATGGCAGAGGTATATTATTTTTATATATACTTGTGTATATGCTTCTGGAGCACACAAAGAGGGAAGGCCAAACTGGTGCAGGTATATTCTGAAACTTTTAACTAAGCCAAATAGAAAATATTCCCCCTCATTCTGGTTAAAATCAAACACAATGGTTGTGTTCACAGAACATGCTCTGCTTAAACCAAAAAACCATACTGTGCTTAATGCAATGGCCTGTTCAATACTTCAGTACTACATTCCAGTTCCAACACTGGCTCTTCATGGGGTCACACCTCTCCCAAACAAGCAAGCCTGCATGTGGGGATCCTCTTGGATTCCTGGTTCCTGCCAGAGCAATAGGTAGAGGCCATGCTGTTCCCCATCTTCAGCTGGTGTATCAAATCAGGGGCCATTTTCAACTCGTAGGACCTTATGACAGGAACTCATGCCCTTATCCCCTCATGGTTAGACAACTGTAATGCACTCTACATGGGGCTGCCCTTGAAGTGTTACAAATAAGCTTATCCTCTGCAATATAATTAAGAATCTTTTAGGCAGCACCAGACTAAAGTCACTGACTAAAGCACCACCCAACAATTCTAGAACACTACTTGTAGATGTTTTAAAAGTTTTAATTTGGCAACCTAAGCATCTCACGTTCATTCTGTCGATCAGTCAGACCATACATACCAAAGACCCTTCTTGTGCTGATCAGGCGACAAAAAGGCAGGAGAAGTCCCCTTAGAATGCTCTTCGAGATGAACCTTGATGGAGTGGTAAATGGGACTTCTGATTTCTCTTCCCTTCAGCTCTCTTTTAAAAGCAATGCTGGATTACCTCAACTTGATTGGTGGCTTACCTCAGCACCACAGATCTGGTCATGATTATTCATCAAGATCTACAAGTTGTTCATCTGATCAAGATGTTCTCTTCCATGACTCTTCCATGACCATAGGGAGTACAAGAATTTTATATTAAAAAAAAAAGTTTTAACAATTCTCTATCTCTTCATAACATGGCTTGGAACATCTCTTATCTTGATATAGTCTTGCACAAATATACTTTTCAGGTTTCTTCTCCAATGCAACTGTTTAACCCTGTTGTCTGGCCATTAAATTATCCTATAACAGAAGATGACTCAGAAGCTTCAATTGGTCCAAAATGCAGCAACCTATCTGCTAATGGAGGAAGCAGGTTAGCAGTGTTATTCTGATGCTCCAGGTGTTGTTCCAGGTCCAATTCAAATTGCTGTTATCATCTATAAAACTTTATATGACTTGGCTCCCAGGTTTTGTCCCATCCTGTGTGTCTTTTCAGGGAGCAGATACTGAGGGTCTCCGCCCTATGTGAGGTGAAAGGTCGAGGACCCACTGATGCTCTTGTTCTGGGGCTGTCCCCAAGCATCAGAACACCATACCTCCTGAAGTATGTGATGCCCCATATTTTCTGGCCTTTAAAAGGCACTTTAAACCATCTTATTCTTTAGGACGTATGAACATTAACAGTGATACAGTTGCCTTAAGATAGGTCTCTTATTCTGATTATTATTTTGTGTTGAATTTTATTTTATGGATGTTTGAAGATTGTAGTTTTCTGATATTGTAAACGTGAATCCTTTAAGTAGGTGATATACAGATTTCTGTATCAATCAATCAACCAACCAATCAATCAAAGCACACTAAAACAAGGGCCAGGTTTCCCAAATGCACTAAACCACAAACTACCCAAACCATTTTAGCTAGTCCACGGTGTTGTACAACCCAGTCATAATACTCCAGGTGCAGGATAATAGTAGAAAAAAAATAGGGAAGAATGAAATAAGCTGCAGTAGGATAAGACTTTCATTTCTGCCAACTAAAATGTCACAAAATCAGTAGATCTCCACATCTTTTCTGAATGGATGTTAAACAGAATAAGGAGGAGAGCTGGGTCTTAAGCTATCATTAAGAAGAATTGGACTACCATCTGTAAATTTACTTAGGAGGAAACCCACTGAGTTCTACTGATATTTACTGGCTATTGTACAACATGCTCAGCCTCTTCAGTACAAACTGCAGGTCTGCTTTTATATAATGAAGGAAGCTTAGTTGCATTTGTTTGTGGCTTAGTGTATTGTGGGAACCCAACCCAGCTGATTAGTTTATGGTTCAGTGTATTTTGTGAAATCAGAAAAAGGGTTAATTCAAGCAGATTAAGCATGTCTTGTGAACAGAATCCATTAAAAGCAAAACTGCAGATAATTACACTAGTAACAAGCTAGCCCTAATAGGTGCAGGACAGCTTTCAAATTGCACTACTGGACAAATGCTAATTGATGTTCTCCCATTTGGGTGAAATTTAAATATTTAGCAGTACTCAGATCTGTCTCTTTCATTAAGTGGAGCATAGATGTGGCAGAGAGAAGCAATGTCATTACAGATTCAAATTACGTTCAGTTAGTCAGTAAATAAGCAAGAAGGTAAAAAGAGACTTATTCAAATCCACAAAATTACAGTTGAAAGACCTCCCAAAGCAACACTTAAGAAAAAAAAATAACTGGCAGTTTGTGAGCACCAACATACCCTCATGATACTGGATAAACTCCACAATGGTGTCCAAAGAGGTAGAGGAATCTTTAGACACTTCGGAGCTCCTCCGGTGGACCTGAGCTCCAAACTGCTTGGCAATTTTCTCAATTTCATCATGATCTGTGGAAACCCACACACTGTGGGTAGACAAAGGGAGCAGCAACATTACTGCCTGTTAGAGAAGGTTGTCATACCACATGACAAACCTTAAGCTATTAGGCAGTTCTTTATCTCATCTCTTTTTTCCCCCAATCTTTTGGAAAAGAGAATAGTAACCATTCTCTTCAACCAAAGGGTTTCAGGAAAATCACTATGGTTTGGCCTCAATTTTCAAATCTGTAAAATGGGTACATAACACTTGCAAATAGAAAGATTGTGCAGCACCTCAGATTTGAAGGCAAAAAGGGTTATTGGAGCATATGGGGGCATACAACTAGCACCCATCTGTAATGCTATGCATTTTTCCCCCAAAGTGTACAATTACTGCAGCATGATTCCAGAAAAAGGCATGTTCAGTTTAAGGTGGGGCTGATTGGTCCTATCTTTCTGTCCACATATGGTTTGAAATAGCTGTTTCCCTTTGATACTGAAGTGCTGCACAGCCTTAGAAAAATTTAGTTTTCTGTTTTGCCCTCAATTCCTCTTCAAGAAACCAGAAAAGGAAGATACTTCTATCTCAGGGAAAGAATCTGAAAACATGTGGTTTGGTTCCAACTACCTGCCAAACAACTCCCTCTGAAATAAACTCCTAAGTTAAGCAGAGGTAGGTAGAGTAAGGTGCAACTTTTAAGTGGCAATTCAGCCTCTTCCATGTATTTGTTTAAATAATTAAATTTAATAAATGAATTGGAATTGGGCAGCCCATAAATGTAAATGAATAAATAAAAATAATAAAGCATATACAGGGTGTACTAAAAGTCAGGCCCCACAGACAATTTATTATAGAAATTACACTGAACATGCAAATTGGTTGCCATTTTCTTTTAAACACTTCCTTACTCGATGGATGCATGACTTTTGAACATTCCTAAGTACAGTAACGTTTTCTTTGGAAAAAAAATATTAATAAAACATATTGATTTATCATTAATTAATAGAGCATATTATGATATATCCTGCTTTGGCCTATATATGAAGGCACACAGTGACCATTAAGTTTGATTTTCAGCACCACATTCCTGAACACAGCATCACCTGAACTTTCTCTAGCTATCCTGCACATTTTCCTACCAGGATTTTAAAGTTTATCAGCTTAGGTCTAAACATGCTTTTTAAGATCTGTTGGATGCTCGTTCAACAGGCAACACCAACACTTGGAATGAAAAGGACGATTTCTCAGCTTGGCTGCCGATTTGCTACATGACATGAAATTAATAACACTCTATCTCTGTATCCACATCTACTATCTGGCGCTGGAAACTTTTGCAAGATACTGTCTGTTAAAAAGCCACCCCCACCAACCCATCCTGGATTTGAAACTTCATAAATTTCCATCTTCGTTAACTATTTGGGATGAGAGAGCTGGCTAACAAATAATTATAAAATCCTGCATTACGTTTTACAATGACTGGTATGAATTTCCTAATGAATCAAATGCAACCGGGAAGTTTCTATTGGAGACAAAAGAGCTGTTATTTCTAGGAAAGGGGAGGGGGGGGGGGGGGGGGGGGAGAAAGAACATTGACACTCGCGCATGCGCAGACCTCTGGAAGGCGCCGGAGTCGAGGGCTGCCCTCAGTACCCACCCAATCAGTGGAACGCCTGCCAGGAGCTTAATGTTCTTCAGCGGGATTCCTTTGCTGCCGCCTCGAGCCAGGATCAGCGCAGCTATGTGAGGGGACGACAGTTCGGCGTCACCCGACGGCCGGGAAGAGGCGACAGCGAGCGAAGGAGAATTCTCGGCGGTCGCAGCCATGGCTTTCTGAGGGGACTAGGCATAACCGCCCTGCCACGTTTAAGCCCGCCCCTCGCGCAGCCACGCTGGCACGTCCGCCAAGAGAATGCCGGGAGGTGCAGTTTTAGGCGCAGAGGTTAACCTCACCGCCGCCTCAAGGTGTCTGAGAAGGCGGTGGGCGTTATTACTGCGCTTGCCGGGAAATGTAGTTTCATTAGCCGAGGACAGTGAAGCCGAAGGCCATGCCAGTGGGATGTTGGGAAGTGTAGTCCAATGGGTGGACGAAGCCTAAAGCGATGTGAGGCTAAGGCCGTTCCCCTCGAAATGGGATGGACTACAAATCCCAAGTGCCGGCTAGGTGTGATAACTATTGGAGTCTTGATAGGGCTGGATGATAAAGTTCCCAAAGTCCCTTCAGTCAGGACAGAAATGCCATAAAGACATTTCATGGATGGCTTCAGAACCTGAAAGTTGCATTTTAGATTCTCCTCACCTGGCGAAAACTGTAGAGAATACCTTGGGCTGCAAGAAGAACATTCAATATTTTATGAAGTAAAAAGAGAAGTGGAAGTTGGACTTTGAAGAAGCAGGATAGGAAGAATATTGATGCTGTTTAACTTTGGTGGTGGAGAAGACTCCTGAGAATATCATGGACAGCCAAGAAAACAAAGAAATGGATCATCAAACAAATCAACCCAGAGTTCTCACTTGAGACACAAATGACTCAACTTATCTTACTTTGGACACCTGATGCAAAGGCCTGGCTCTCTGGAAAAGGCTCTGATGCTGGAAAAGGTGGAAGGAAAGAGAAGAGGACCACCAGCAGCAAGGTGGACGGATTCAGTTAAGGTAGCAATGGGTACGCTGTTGGAAGACCTGAAAGACCAGGTTAGGGATAGAATGTCATAGAGAAAATCTAGCTATGTGGTCATTAAGACTTGACAGTGACTTGATGGCACATAATCAATCAATCAATCAATTTCTGTCCAGGCAGATCATACAGTCCCTAGAGAAGTCCAGAATCCTGAGAAAAGTGGAAGAGAAGAGGACAACCAGAAGCAAGATGGACGGATTCAGTCACAGTGGCGATGGATGCACCATTGGAAGACCTGAAAGACCATGTTAGAGACAGACCATCATAATAATCTACATATGGTGCTCTACCTGTGTGGTTGCTAAGAGCTGGCACATAATTAATCAATCAATATGAAGATCTAGCTCTCTTGAGAAATCCATAATGTGGTGAAAGGAAGGGGAAGAAGGGGACGACCAGCAGCAAGGTAAATGGACATTTATAGCAGTGATGGATATACCATTGGAAGATCTGAAGGTCCAAGTTGGGGAGAAATCCTCCTAGAGAAAATCTATCTATGTAGTCACTAAGAGTTGACATCGACTTGATGGACATATAATCAGAAAGCAAAACTACTCACTGGAAGTACTAAAACCAAAAAATATAGGTATTTTGTACACATAATAAAAAGGCAAGAGTCATTGAAGAAGACTCTGATGTTTGGAAGAATCAAAGACAATCGAAAAACAGACTGACAAAACAAGGTGGCTAGATGATATCACTGATGACACAGCAGGAGCTTACAAGAACTCATAGAAGCAATTACTGGAAGACATTTCTGACCCAGTGATGTCCATCAGGTCATGAGGAGTTGGAAGCAACAAAACAACTAAATAACAACATATCTAAGAGGAAAGAAAAAACTTGAAGGCTGGGCTGTGCTCTCAGCATAGAGTTCATTCACAGTGGGTTTATATTTGCAAACACATTTACCCATACTAAATTGAACCACCACTTTTTAAAGCCAGTTTTCTGGGTTTGTGTGACAAACAACTGTAGACTAACCAGATTTGCTAGGTTCACACAACACACTAGGTTAAATTGTGGTTGGCTAATTTGTATTCAAGACATGATACAAACATAGCCACTTCCATAGTCCAATTACTGGTGTTACTGCATATCATTCTCAAACTGCTGCTACAGTGATGGTAGAAATGAGAGCAATAACAGTTTGCAGCCAAATATATATGAAGACATATCCTTCTATTATTGCTCCTGCAGTCTTTTTTAAATTCCAGCAGAGTGCAGCCTGTTCACAGAGAAAACTGTGTGTCTCACACACATTTTAAGAAATGGAAACAAGAAATAAAAATTAGCTGTTCCAGTTTTAAAGTAGTGCTTTCCCTGTTGTTCCAACACAGTTTTTGCCATGGATATGATCTGGCACATTTCACTGACAAGGAAGCTGACGTGATTGGTATTTGAGATCTTCCCAGTTTGGGCTCTTTCCAGCCATTTCAGGCTGCTGTGGAAAGCCCCTTCCCCTACCATCACTGGTTTGGGCTACAGGAGATAAGACATTTGCCTCCAGATACCACTGACCATTGAATATTCTGGTGGGACTGACAATTGCCATGGTTCAACAAGAGATGTTGGGCTACAGGCTTCCCAGTCCTGATTTACATGAAGTAGCAAGTGCTCTCTGGGCTTTTCTCATCCCTGCATGGTCAGACCTGAAAGGTTCAACTTCTCAAGGTGCCAAAGAATGAGCATGAAACACATGCAAACCACACATTCTTCTACTGAACTGCATCTATCTTTATCTTTTTCAGCTGCTGTACACTTTGTCCATTTGCTGTGAGATCGCCTATCCTGTACTAGGTGTTGAGGTAGGCAAATTAGCAAACTGACCATAGCCATTTAATTATGTGTTTGTTGGATTCATATCCTGTCTTTGCTCCATGAACTCAAGATGACATGCATAGCACTCCCTCCTCCTCTTTTCCCCACAACAATGACCCAATGGGGAGCAGATAGGCTGAGAGAGGGTGACTGGCCCACGGTCACCCAGGGAACTTTCATGGCTGAAACCTGTGTGCCCTCTATCCTAGTTCAGCACCTTAACTTCTACATGATACTGGCTTTCAGTATTGATACGATGAATAAAAATTCCCCATGTGGTATTCAGGATGGGATTGCATTCCTCTCAACAGACCAAGGTTATCATGCAGCACTGCTTGGTGATCCATCTTGGTCACTTGGTGATGCATCCAGAAGACCCATCCTCTTTGTTTTCTGGAATGGCCCTTGCCACTTGACCTCTAACTTCCTAGTTGAGCTTGAAAGCCACAACATATCTTCTCTCCCACCTGGAAGAATTTGCTCCAGGCATTTATATCATAATACTTTTTATGTTTTTTTCTGGGTGTGAGACTAGGCTGAAGCTGCCATAACCATAAGATGAAGCAGGCAGGTAAGCAGAGAGGATAAAAGCCAAGACTCTTGTCTATGAGAAGCCATTGGGGAGGTAGATAAGAAGGAAGCAAGTCGTTAAGGAAACAAAGAACCTGAACCAGACAAAAGAAGTTGGGCCTGAGCATATGGAAACCCCAATCCCATCAACAGCTGCCAGACTTTTGGGGATAAAAGGGGTCTCAAAGCCCGCCCACTCTGAGTCGTCTGAGTCTCCTGAGTCATCTGAGTCATCTTTGGATCCAGGCTTGGCGGTTTCCCTCTAGCTAGCTAGCTAGTGCCTGGCAGCCTAGTTGGGAAGGACATGGGTAAGTGTGGATGAGTGTGTGTGTGTGTGAGAAAGAGCAAATAGACCTTGCAACCAGTAAAGTTTTGCTGTTACTTTAAATTTACTGGGTCTCCGTGCAC